AATCCGAGCTCCCAAGCTTAAGTTTTGATAAAAATGGCTAAACCCTCGATTTTGAAATCTTATATCTGCCCAAGCGCATTCTTCTTCGTGAACGCGAGGCTACTATCGTGAACACGATGCAAAAAGTCCCGCTGGCCAATTTCCTCTTTCGTGAACACGAGTTCCACTCGCGAATGCGTAGCTTACACTGGCAGACCCTACGCGAACGCGAGGACCATGTCGCGAACGCGAAGACCAACGGGTCCTTACCTTCGCGAACGCGGGACATCATCACGAACGCGAATCATATTTAAGCTACTTCTCCCAGATGCTCTACGCGAATGCGAGACCGCCTCACGAACGTGATGAACGTTTTCTCTGCAATACAATAATAGAAAATCTGCAATCTTTCCAAGTCCAAAGATGGTTCGTTGAGCATCCCAAACACCCGAGGCCCCCGAGACCTCAACCAAACATGCCAACCAATCCTAAAACATCATTCAAACTTGTTCCAACCTTCGGAACACTCAAGACAACATCAAAACACCTATTTTTCATCGGATTCAAGCCTAAGAATTCCAAAAACTCCAAAAATACTCTTTCGATAAAAAAGTTATCAAACCTCGTCCGAATGAACTGAGATTTTGCATACACATCACATTAAACACTACGGAGCTACTTCAACTTCTGGAATTTCTTTCCGACCCTTAGATCAAAATCTCACTATCGAACCGGAAACTTTAAAAATTCAACTTTCGGCATTTCAAGCCTAAATTAGCTACGGACCTCCAAAATACAATCCGAACACGCTCCTAAGCCCAAAATCACCCAACGGAGCTAACAGAACCATCAGATTTCCATTCCGAGGCTGTCTTTACACTGTTCCGACTACGGTCAACTTTCCAACACTTAAGCTCTTATTTAGGGACTAAGTGTCCCAAAACTCTCCGAAACTCAAAACCGAACATCCCGACAATTAAAAATAGCAGAAATAAACTTGGGGAAAGCAGTTAATAGGGGATCGGGGCGTTAATCCTTAAGACGACCGGCCGGGTCATCATAATTCCTATATAATCAATCCCCACCTAGCCGTAATTAGAACCAATATCAGATGCTTGCTATGTTGTGTTGAAAGAAGAAGAAAAAGAATGAAGTAGTTAGTATTAGCTAGCTTTCTGGTGTATATGGTGATTATTCAGAATATAAGTAAAGTTGGAATTTGAAAAATGAAGCAACAACTTAAGCTCAAGATGGATCAGAAGAGAAAGTCTGATCTATAGTAAGTAAATGTTATCTTTATTTTTGTAGAAAAGTATGGAATCTCAAGGCGAACAAAATCCAATGTGTTCATCTTCAAGTACAACTCCTATTGAGATTGAGAGTCGAGGGCTTATGCAGTCTGATCAAGTTAATATGGAAGTTATTGATGAAACAGGTAAAAGAAAACTTAGTTTTGATGCATGGAAACATTACAAAGTGGTGAAGCTTGATGGTGCTCACTTTGGTGTTTGTAAGTATTGTAACACTCATATCAAATCAACAAGAAAATGTGGGACATCATCTTTATGGGATCATATTCGTAGATGTCGTAAGAAGCCAAGTAACTTAGAAGATGGGGGTGGTTTGGGGGGTGATGATGGTATCCAACAACATTATTTTGATCAAGATATTTCATGTAGGAAACTTGCTCATGCCATCATTTTGTATGAATACCCTTTGTCGATTGTCGATCATGTTGGATTTAGGAAGTTTGTTGCTAGTCTTCAGCCATTGTTTAAAATAGTGTCTAGGAGCACAATCAATAATGATATTTTGAAGATTTTTGACAATTTAAAATCAAAAACTTCTAAGTTGTTGGAAAAACTCACAAGTAAAATTGCAATAACAACTGATATGTGGACTTCAAACAATACAAAAAAGGGTTCATGGCTATTATGGCACATTTTATTGATGATTCATGGAGGCTTCAAAGCCATATTCTTAGATTTATTTATGTTCTTGCTCCACATGATAAGGATACTTTGTGTATTGTGTTGCTTAATTGCCTGATAGAGTGGAATCTTGAAAGAAGAATATCAACAATTACAGTTGATAATTCTAGTACAAACAATGCTTTGATGAAAATCTTGTTAGATGAGAAACTTTGTAAGAGGGATTTATTGTTGATGGGTCGAATGTTGCATGTGCGTTGTGCCGCACACATCTTAAATTTGATTGTGCAAGAAGGGATAAAGGTGATAGAAGATGGTATTAGTAATGTGCGTAACAATGTCTTATATTGGATAGCATCTTCAGGCAGAATTGAAAGGTTCGAAGAAGCTGCACGGTTGCTACATATTTCTTGTACTAAAAAGTTGGAGTATGATTGCCCTACTCGTTCGAACTCAACATATCTTATGTTGAGAACAACCCTAGATTACAAAGAGGTGTTCAGAAAGTTGAGTTTAACTGACACCAATTATCGTTGTTTTCCAACCGAAGGGCAATGGAGTGCAGCACATGAAGTTTGTGAAAAGTTGCAGCTGTTTCACCATATCACTGAACAATTCTCAGGGAGTCAATATCCAACTTCAACTCAATACTTTTCAAAAGTTTGTGATATTAAGCTAGAATTAGAAGCTTGGGTGAAAAATTTAAATCCTTTGATTAGCTCTATGGCATTATCAATGTTGTTAAAATTTAAAAAATATTGGGATGATATGCATATTTCGATGGGGGTAGCTACTATCTTTGATTCGAGATTTAAGATGAAGTTGGTTGAGTTCTATCTTGCACAAATTTATGGTGAAGAAGCATTACATAAAATTCAAGAAGTTTGAAACCATTGTTTTGATCTCTTTCAAGAGTATACGAGCAGAGTGGTTGCTTCACATGAGTCATTTCAAGCATCTAGTTCTAATGAAGTTGCTGGTGTTGTTGAGGGTGATCGACGGTCTAGTTTCGATAGGTTTGTCGCTTCGAGTAGAGCGAATGTGGACCCAAGATCGGAGTTGGAGTCATATTTAGAAGAAGGTGTGCTACCTCGTATGCCATCATTTGATTGTTTACGTTGGTGGAAGACAAACGGATTAAAATTTCCTACTTTGTAAAAGATAGCTCGTGACCTCTTAGCCATTCCTGTCTCTAATATTGCTTCAGAATCGGCCTTTAGCACTAGTGGGAGATTGATTAACCCGCATCATAGTAGACTTTATCCTACTACTTTGGAGGCGTTGATGTGTGCTCGCACTTGGTTATGGAACGAGATAAATGGTAAGTAACTTTTTTATGATTTACTATGTTAATAATACTATTCACTTTCTTATACTATTATACTTTTTTTTAGGTTCGTATTCAAGCATTGATAGAGTTTCATGTCTGACAATGCTTGATGAAGAAGAAGATCCAGATGTTTCAGTTGCTTGATAACTGAAGGAAGTCGGAGATGCATTATTTCTGATGAATAAGAAGATCCCAATGTTTCAATTTTTGCTTTGTTGTAACAAACTAATCAGAGTTCTCATTTAGTATTATTTCTGATGCGACTGGTTTGTGTATCTACTTTATTAAGATGTTCGTTTTCCATTTGCTAAGTTGGTGTCTGCATTTGTGTTTCTTTTAACTTGGTCACAAAAATAGTTTGTTGATCTAGTTATCTGCTTTTTCATTAAACTTAAAAAATAATGTGATTTTATCTTAGAATTCACTAAGCAGATATGTGGCTTATTTTTATCAATACTAATCCTTCTGAAAAGACTTGAACTAATGAACTCTATTGACCTTCTTGATAAAGATGTGTTATGTGTACATGGACTGAAAACTTCTACAGCATCTCTTCAAGCTGCTGGTTGTGCCAGAAATTCTTTTTTCTTTGTATGTTCCTCCTGGTTGCTGCATTATAAAGATAGATAAAATATTCAAAAAACAGCACAACTGAAATATGTTTGGCGTTCAACAAATACATATTTTCATGGTTCAGAAATCCACATAACTAGTCATCACTGTCCATGTTACTTTATTTAAGTTTTTCTCAACTAAATATTAATAAAACATACATTAAAAATGACAACAACAAAAAATAAAAAAGAATTACAGAAGCTGAGTGCAGGGAAGGGGAGCTATTCAATTATTCATGACATACGTTGGGAGCTATTGAAACTGGAATTTTACCTGGTTTATTGCAGAGTTCAAAGAAAATTACCTGGTTTACTAGATCAGATTAAAAAAATTAAAAAAAATATATGCGGGGTGGGGCAGTTAAAAATAGAAAATTTTGTTTTGCGGGGGGGGGTTGGAGTCTTCGTTGGTGTGCGTGGGTGTGCCCCGCAACCGCACCGCTCCGCACCGTTTGCCATCCCTACTAGTCTCCTCCTTCTTTAAATCATTTTGATGAAAACTGTTTCCATTAATTCTTATCTCACGTGTATGGTCACTCTAGAAGCATCTTTTCCACCTCTGCGCTATATTCTTTGACAAGGTCGACTTATTTTGGTCCAGGGGCAGCAATATATACTGACTGTGTAGGCCTTACGACTTCCGACTCATTTCCTTGAGGAGTATTTTCCTCCCCTTTCACATTATTCGACATCTTTTGCAATTGGATTCAACACACTTCACATACTTCACATTAATCAGAGAGAAAGAGAGTGGAAATGGCAAAGTGAGTAGAGATTAGAGTTAGGAGCTCATAAAGCATGAAACACATTTAAAAATCAAATATTTTCAAGGTAAAAAAAAAGATAATAAAGAATTTTCAATACTTCTCATTTTGCAATATTTTGAACCTATCCAGTCGCTAGTTATCCATTGATGCTTTACAGACATAGTCATGCTACTAGCAAGTCGACAAATATCAATAACAAAAGTTTCAAGGCAAATACTTTGCCCTATAAAAATAATTCATATTTATACTAATAATATATTTATTTAGTGTATATCTTTTTGTATTTATCTTAAGATAGATCAGTCATATTCTTGTGCTTGTTTGTATTATAAATATCCTACTCTAATTGTACTTTGTACTTATCAAGCATAACATAGTTTCATGGTATGAGGAACTTAAGTCTCTTTCTTCTCGATGGCTTCTTCTTCCTCCTCAATTTCCACAACTTCATCTCCAATCAAAACAACTTCATCTCCAATCAAAACTGATCAATCTTCTCTGTCTCCCTCGTCCAACACTGCTATTTCTTTGTCTAACATCAAAAACTTAATTCCTTCTGTACTAGACTACACTAATTACATGTTATGGCGGGAACTCTTTTTGCCTGTTTTCAAGGGTCATGGTGTTTATGGCTTCATTGATGGAAGTTTTCCTTGTCCACCCTCTACTATTATTACAGAAGATGGTAACTCCATTCTCAATCCTGCTTTCCGGGTTCAACTTGATTCCATTGTCTTGTCCTGGATTCAAGCAACTATTTATCAAGAAATCCTACAAGTTATTCTCCGTCCCAATCATTCTCTAACTTCTAGAGAAGCTTGGCTTGAAATTGAGCGTCTATTCCGTGACCAAGTTAGTTCTCGAACTCTTCAACTCAAGGTTCAATTTCATAACCTTAAGAAAGGTGATCTTTCAATCAATGACTATGTGCATCGGCTTAAAACAATTGCAGATTCTCTGAACTCCATTGGTAATCCAATTTTAGAAACAGATCTTGTTCTTCAAATTTTGTCTGTCCTTCCTTCTGATTACATGCCAGTTAGTACTTCCATTTCTACTAGAATCACAGTCCCATCTTTTACAGATACGCATTCTCTGCTCTCTTTGCATGAGGCTCAATTGTCTAATTTCTCTGCCACTAATCTTGACTTATCTGTTACTGCTTTTGTAGCGAAGCAACATTCTACTCCTCATGGTCGTGGTAGGAACAACAATGGGGGTCGGAACTCAAATGGTGGTCGTGGTATGGGTCTTAACAATCCTGGGTTTTATAAGAATTTTTCTACCCCTTCTCCAAATCTCTCTCCTCGCCCTCGATCTCCATCCATTCTCGGGCCTGCTTCTTATTCTTCTTTTCCCTCTTCCCACATGCATGCTACTGTCCAATGTCAACTTTGTTTTCAATATAATCATTCAGCTCGTAAATGTCCATCTCTTGGTCCTAACAAATTTATCTCTGATCTTCAATCACCTCCAACTCATTCTTATGCCATGCCTAGCGATGCACACTGGTATGTTGATACTGGGGCCTCCTCTCACATGACCCCAAATCCTGGTAATGTATCCTCGGTTCTCCCTTACAATGGTACTGATCGAGTTGTTGTAGGCAATGGTACTCAACTTCCTATTTCATACACTGGTCATGGTACTATATTTACTCCTTCTACCCTTTTTTCTCTTAAAAATATTCTTATTGTTCCTAATCTCTCAAGTAATTTGCTGAATGTTCGTAAATTTACTACTGATAATAACTGCACCATTGAATTTGATCCTTTTGTTTTTTTATTAAGGATCTCAAGACCAAGAAAATTCTTCTACGGTGCAATAGCCAAGGCCCTCTTTATTCATTATCTTCCTTGTCTTATGGTGCGGTTCATCGAGCTCTTGTAGCAGTGCGACGTTCTCCAAATCTTTGGCATTAACGATTAGGCCATCCAAGCTTTGCCATTCTTGCTAAATTGGTTAGAGAAAATAAAGTTTCTTGTAGTTCTTTCAAACAATTAGATTTCTTATGTAATGTTTGCCAACTTGGCAAGCACAATAAATTACCTTTTGTGGAATCTCAATCATTCACGACTTCCCCATTTGAGTTGATACATAGTGATATATGGACATCTTCTGATCTTTTACAGGCTTCTGTTATTATATTCTCTTTCTTGATGATTATTCAAAATTTCTATGGGTGTTTCCTTTAAAACGTAAATCAGAAGCTTTTTTAAAATTTAAATCATTTTATTCTTATGTCTCAACTCAATTTTTCACAAAAATAAAAGCTTTGCAATGTGATGGCGGTGCTGAATATGTTAAACTTTCTTTGTTTCGTGTTTTTCTTGATGAAACTAGAGTATCATTGCGTATCTCATGTCCATATACGCATCAACAAAATGGCAAGGCTGAACGGATGCATTGCACTATTGCAAATACGATTTGTACCCTTCTATTTCAAGCCTTTCTTCCTCCTAAATTTTGGGTTGAAGCTCTTCAAACTGTTGTCCATCTCTTGAATATACTTCCCTCTTCTAAACTTCAATTTAAAACTCCATTTGAAGTTCTCTTTGGCAAGCCTACTACCTATGACCATTTACGTGTATTTGGATGCTCATGTTATCCGAGTCTTAGTGATTACTCTTGTAACAAGTTAAGTCCTTGTTCTAAACATTGTATTTTTCTTGGTTATCCATTAAATTATAAAGGATTTCGGTGTCTTGATCCATTAACAAATAAAGTATATATTTCTCGACATGTTCGATTTGACGAGGAATCCTTTCCGTATCTTACTCTTTTACAACCAACTTCTTCTTGTTGTGTTCAAATATTTTATTCAAATCTCCAACAGAGTTTACCTTCCAACCTCTGTTACCTACTATATCTCATTCGATCTCTTCACCCCCTAAGACTCTCCCTTTATCTCATACGCAAAATACTCCAACTTCTAATCAAATTCCTAGTTTAACTCCAACTAATCTTCTTGACAACATTTCTCCTACTTCTAATCAGATTCCTAATGTATCTCCTACTAATTTGTTTAAGAATATTTCTCCACTTCTAATCAGATTCCTAATTTATCTCCAACTAATTTGCGTAAGAATATTTCTCAAGTTTCACCGCCACTGGATTCTAGGACTTCTCCTACTTGTTCACAATTTTATCCACCTTTCAGTGTTGATTCCTCATCAGCTTTGACTTCTTCATATTTGTCTCTAATTAGATATAATTCATTCTTACGTACTATTTCTTATGAATTTCAAAATATACAGTCTACTACTTCTCTTATACGCAGTAGACTTGTAAGTCCTTATCCCTCTAATGTTCGAACTACATCTTCTCCTCTCTTACCTTCTTCTACTCGTGCAACCACTAATACACATGCTGGTCCTTATTCCTTTTCAAACGTTGATGTTCCATATCATTCTACTTCCGCCACCATACGTTTCCCTCCATTATCTCCTCCGATATTACGTCACTCTCCTCACACAATTCCTACTCTTCCAAAAATTCATCATATGGTTACTTGTTCTCAAATAGGAAACCTTAAGCCTCGGGTTCTTCCTTCTCTCTTATCCCAAGAAACATCTAAGAAAGACATACCATCCATTCCTCCCGAGCCTACTTCATTCAAGGAAGCTAATAAGGATCCTAACTGGAGAAAAGCCATGGCTGAAGAATATAATGCCCTCATGACCAACAATACGTGGCAGTTAGTGTTGCCTCCTCCAAATGCTAATGCTATTGGTTGTCGTTGGGTATACAGAGTAAAACAATGTTCAGATAGTTCAATTGAACGGTTTAAAGCTCGCTTGGTAGTGCAAGGGCACAATCAACAATATGGGCTAGATTATGATCAAACATTTAGTCCTGTGGTGACATCTCCAAACTGCTAACACACTTCAACATATTATAACAAAATTGATATGTCATCCCTCTATTTCTAACTGTTTGCCAGCAAATTAAAACACACACACTCTCTCTCTTCATCAATTTATAATTAAGCAAACATGTGTATGAGTAAAGCTTATACAAAAGTTCTTAACATTCAATTTGAGCAATCAGCATCTACAACAATAACAAACAAAGTATATTTCTTAGTGGAGTCTGGTTAAGGTAATGTGTACAGACTTTACCTTACCGAGTAAAAGTAGAAAGGTTGTTTCTATCAACATTTAGTTACAGAATATACATACAAGTAGTGGTGCCAAATGGGCGGGTTGGGTCGGATTTGGGCGGGTTAAAAACGGGTTGGATTGCAACCGGTCCATATTAATATGGGTAAAATACGGGTTGGGTAAAATATGGGTTGGGTAAAAAAATGGGCATGATCCATTTTATCCATTTTGTGTTATGCAGTTTTTAACAGATCGATCTTGTGAGATTGAGAAACTGCTCTAAAAACTGATTTTAGAATTAAACTGACCTTAATCAACTTGTTATCAAAATATTTTCTATATTTTCTCAGTTACAAGAATATTTGGAAATTATTCAATGACCATAAGTTTTCTATCTTTTTTATTTTGACATGGCCAACTTGATATTACAATAGTTTGGTATAGATTCCAAACTTCGTCAAGGAAAGAGCCTGTATATTTTCGTTAATGAAGTATATTACTCCTAAATATTATCATACAAATTACTTCTTTCTTTTTTTTTTGTCTTTTTTCAAACTTTAGCAACTGACAATAACAGAGATACTGTCATAAATAAAATACTGCCATGAAATAAGCCAACCTAACTGCTGTTTTTTCAAACTCTACAATAATAGAGATACTGCCATAAACTCGTCGAACTAGTGCTTAAAAATGACATAAATAAACCACAAACACTGAAATATCAAGATATGACTGAAGACTAGATAGCAAATGCAACTTTCCCAAGCATGGAAACAAAGTCTGAAACATCCTTCAACAATTGTCTCTGCTTACTCCATAGTCCATACATGGGTAAATTCCTTACATAAGCTAGCCATAACTATTTCTACACAACTTTACCTATCAATGTAAACTAAGTTTATCAAGATACGGCTGCAGGTCTACCGCAATTTCATCCTCATCAGTGTCTGATTTACTACAATCTTACAAAAGCAAACAAGAAAAGGTAAAATTAATTTATTGGAGCACTATTACAAAAGAACAAAACAAAAGAATAGTATAAATAAAATGATTTACCTTCTTGTTCGCAAAGCCAATCTCTAGTACACAACTTTGCCTCTGCATTTGCAGGCAAAATAGAGCTTTGAAACTTTCCAATAATACGACCTCCAATGCTAAAGGTAGACTCTGAGGCAACAGTGGTAATAGGTATACTCAAGACATCTCGTGCCATCAATGAGAGTTCTGAAAACCTTAGTCTATTTTCCATCCAAAAGGTAAGCACATCCAAATCTGGATTTGCTTTACGATCAAGATTAGGCTCCTCCATGTACAAATCTAATTGTGTTTTACCTCTACCAGACTCTTGGTTCTCAAACACATCAAACTCCTCAAACTCATCCCTTGCTTCATTGGTACATCTACCATAAGCATGCTCCTCCATTAAGGAAATTGAGGTCGAAGATACCAAGTATTCTTTGAACAACAATTGCAAATGATCTTCAACAATTTTTACCTTCGCATCAGCAGTCGCAGGATCAATTTTGGAGAAGCAAAATTTCACAAACTTCATTTTATATTGAGGATCAAGGACAATGGCAAGTGATAAGATCTTACTGTAAGACCTCCAATATTTTTTGAACTTTCTTAATATTAATGTAGTCATCTCATTCATAACTAGGTCACTACTATTTCTTTCTTCCTCTAACAGCATTTGAATTTTCCATACATTAGGTAGATACAAATTGGCAGTTGGATATTTGTTTCCGGAAAACAATATAGTGATATCATAAAATGACTTCAAACACTTAGCAACCGTCTCTACCCTTTTCCATTCCTCCTCAGAAAGAGCATATTTAAAATCAGTATCAACTAACTTATATTTAATATAAGCTTGCTGGTAGAGGAGAGCACTTTCAAGCATTTGAAAAGTAGAAATCCAACGAATAGTCATATCTTGGCGAAGCTTCTTTGAGCACGGTAGCACAAGATTCTTAATGCATTCCACAAATTTCAAAATTTATCCTTCCGAATGTTTAATATGCTTAACACCTTCTCTAATTTTTACAATAGATGCATTAGCTTTTTCCAAACCAGCCTTCACTATTAAATTCAATATGTGGTTCCCACAACGAACATGAAAGAACTTTCTATCACAAACTAGTGAACGCCTTAAAGATAAATGTTCTTTTAAAATATCAACCACACCCCTATTGCAACTAGCATTATCCAAAGTAAGAGTAAAGATCTTCTTTTCAATGTCTCATTCCTTAATAAACTCAATTAGTAAAGTACCTAAAACTGAACCAGAATGTGAAGGGGGCACATGACGGAAAATCAATACTCTTTTTTGAAGAATCCAATTCAAATCAACATAATGAGCAGTTAAGCACATATAGTTATTTGATGCTACAGAAGTCCACATGTCCGAAGTCAAACACACCCTACTAGGAATCGCGGCAAGCTCATTTTTTAGAAATTCTTTTCCTATCATACATTTTCAAAATATCAGACTTGGCGGTGTTTCTTGAAATGGTTTTGACAGTTGGATTTAAGTACAAATAGATATCCCTATTTCCTTTATGCTCGACAAAGCTGAAAGGATAATTATGCTTTAGAATAGCCACAGACAATTTCTCCCGATAAATTGCTTGATCAATTGGCTCACACCTACGCTCTTGCGTATTATTTATGTGTGCATCAATATGTCGCTTCAAATTTGAAGTGCCAGACTTAGAATCTGCTACATAGATCATCTTACATATCTTACATTGCGCTTTGCCCCTTTCACCAATACTAGCATGAGGCAATTTTTGAAAAGTATTCCAAACAACGGAAGTATTTTTTTAGCTCGTTTTGTTGGGATTGACGAACTAACATCACATTACTCCTTAATAGCCTCCTCATTAACCTCCGTACACATCTCTACCTAACATAGAAAGCAAAAGTTCAAAATATAACAATGGCATATTTGGACTCATTACGAAACTCATTTCTGAGCTGAAATTTCTTAGTGAAATAACTTGAGAAAATTTATAACTTAAAATTGGGAGAAACACAGAACAAAAAATCTAATAGTTATAAGCAGTTATGCAGACATTCGAAAGTGTAAAAATCAAAACCCCATAAGAAAAAGGAAAGACAAAAGAAAAACTGGGGATTGATTTATATTTTCCTTTTGTGTGAAAAACAATTACTTGGTTTGTGGATAGAACGCCGATTTCCATAGGAAAAGGAAGTTCTCGTTGAGTGAAGTCGGCAGTAGCGAGATAGGTGCTCTCGGTGTTGGGAGTTTATTGGACTTCTAATTAGCCTATACAATCACAAATTCAAAATGATATATTTCTTGGAATTAATTCCACCATAGAAAACAATTATGATATATTTCTTGAAATTAAATTTGGAATGATAAAATAAATAATAACTTCTGCTTATTTTTTGAGCTAAGAACCAACCCTAGCTCTAAAATTTTAAAAAAAAAAGAAGAAAAAGAGGAGGACGAGGAAGAAGGTTTTAGGGGACTGGGGCAGAGAGGTTACCTTTAAAGAGATTGATGAAGAGAAACCATCTGTTGAAGGAGACGAAGATCAATACTGGAAAATGTGTTGTGAAAGACTGAAAGTAGCGTAGATTACCAACCCATATATTACCCAACTTTTACCCACAAATATCCATATTTTATGGGTAAAATATGGGCTGAAACCCAAATGTGATCCACTTAAAATATGGGATTTTTTCCTAACTATAGCATATATGAAACCTTATTACCAAATATGTGCATACTATGTAAATTACCCGTCCAGTCCACAGTTTTCCTACAATTTCTGTACCATTTGTTTAATACACGATTAATTGGGCAAAATCTTCCATAATTAACGCGCTAAAAATCAGGAAAAAATCTTGCGATTGATTGAGTCTACATTAAATTCAAGTTTTGAAACGGAAAGGAGATTTCTGTTCTTCATCTTCATCTTCATCTGTTCTTCCATATATTTTCCACCATTG